GAAATATATTGTTTTAATGGCATATTACTTTTCCCATTTGATATTTTCTACGTGATAAGTACAGAGCAGTTTTATTTTCATTTAAAACCTACGAGCATTCACTATTGTTGGATACGTCGACAATATTAACAGGTAATTGAAGACGTCGTAAGTAAAACGAATGAGAAGTACCAAAGTATGATCAGCGGAATGAGTCTCATCATTAAAATGGCTGTAGAAAACTAGGAGTAATCATATGGAATGAGCATAAGGGGAAAAAATAGAAAGCTGCTTGATTTAGCCAATAGTAATATACTTTCTCTTATTTTTGTTCTTAAAATACGACGCTAGCTTTACTAATACAATTCCTGTAAAACTTGATGGAATAATTTTCATCACGATGTGAATAGAGCTTGCAGAGGCAATAATGAGTGTTTATAATTTATATTAGCTGAGCTTGAGATCCAGCATATTTTTCTAAACAAACTTTCTGTAAATCATTTTCTAATACTCTCAGTTAATTTAACTCAAAAACAGAATCCGTCAGTTATTAACCGACTCAGTTTTTCAGAAAAAAAGAGAGAAAATGTACCTCGATCAAAACTTCTATTTTCTTCTTCAACCAAGAAAATGTAACGTACAGAAGCTTTCACCAACACTAATTAAGGAATAATACTTTTCAATTTATCTGATGGCCTCATTCGTTTGAATGATCGAACCAATCGTTACTTGAAAGTACTTCATTAGTCGTGATGATTAATATTTACTAGGAGAAGTTCTTCATGAGTTTTATAATAGCACTTTATCAACAGTTTTTTCACTGAGTTCCATAGAAATAATTTTTGCGAAAATTTTTGTTTTTATCAAAACAGTTACTTGACTAATGACAATGTTTGCAAGACAAATGAAACGAGCACATGTAGCAGAATACGTAGAATACAAAAGTCGTAAAATATAAGCACAATGTTGTGAAATTGAAGTATCGAATTCTTTTAAGGTCAAAGAAGCATCGTACGAGTAGAGATACTCATCTATTCAACGAATAGGAATATTTTATTTGTCACATTACTTTCTATTCAAGCATCTACTTCTATTCTTAATGTTTAGACCTAGCAGAAAGAAAACATTGCATTGAGTTTTAACTCATACATATCGTTAACTGAACGCTACATCATGTACTTCAGCTATTGTTATATTTCCTACAACTACTTATTATAATACAATCAAATAGAAAAAGGGTATGTTTTGTTTGCTTATTTGTTTATTTCTGTAATTTTTGTTTTGCTTGAATCGATCTATTATTTCATACAAAGAATAGTTTTTCGGCAGACTTAATCAAATTGACAGAATCGATAACATAAATCGTTTACAATTACTTCCGAAATAAATTATATTAAACATCAGCATAAGATGGAACGAATTTATCAGCTTTTAGTAAATGACACCGTTGACTATCACACGAAATTATCATGTGCTAGAGAAATAAAACTTTCGATCAAGAAAAGAGAGATTAATTTCGAGCTTGACCAACTTATTTTAGCTCTACAGAAAAACTGCAATCCAAATATAATGTCTGAAATTTTATGTGCGTTAGCATTTCAAATTAGAAATTGTTTTGAGAATAATGAAGAAAACGCGAAAGAGAAGGAATTTATTCATAAGATCAATAATATCATAGATGAATCAGAGAGTAAACCTAGTCCTGAGGCTGTAAAATTTTTTAAAGAAACAATTGAAAACCATTGGCAATTAGATGATAAGAGTACGGGGCAAAATCTTCAACCTAAACTAAGAATATCATCTGATTATTCTAGAATGCGACAAGAAATAGTTAAAGCAAAAGAACAAAACTCAAATAAAACTCTTTATAAAGCTTATCAATCCGAGGAATCATTCAATCAATCAATCATGAAAGATTTGTTTAAGAATGCCAATAAAAGAACTGAAATGAATTCTGCTATTGAAAAATATCCTATTGTACTCCATAAAGATGGAACTGATAAGTCGTTTACTCGAGCTACCTATTCAGAAGTTCTTCATCTTTATAAACTAGCAACAGGTGGACAAATGATGAAGGCAGAAGATAAAGATAAATATTTACCCTCTAAATTTCTACAACTCAAAGAAAAATGGTATCTATCCAATATCATAGAATCATTATTTGTTGACAGAATGATTGCAGATATATTTCTTAAAATTTCGATGAAACAAAGATTGCATGAGAAAGCAGTAAGAGTGCTTTTGAATGGTATAAATTCTCTGGAAAACGTAGAAGAGAAGATTTTTGGTAATGTTAGTAAGAGAGATAAATGTTTGAAAGCAATTATTAAGAGCAATAAAGCAAGATATGGTAAATGGTTTTCTGGATTTTTTGATCGTCAATATTTACTCAAATATCAGAACGATTCTGATCTTGTATCAGAGATGACAAGAAAAATCTATAATGATTGCATCACAAACCTTGAACAACTTAAGACTACTATTGCATTTGAAGTAAACAAAGTTAGATATGCAGCAATCAAAGCTATTTATTATTCTACTATGACACATAATGGAACATTAGAGAAAGAACAATTGAAACATATTGAACAATTTCAGAACGATAATGACGAAGAATTTAAAAAATATGTCATAAAAATAATTGCAATACATGCAGATAATAACAATATTGACTATAAAAAACTATTTAAAACTTGTTTAGAAGAACTTGAAAAAAATGTCAACGTAGAGGAGTCAGTAAATTTCGTTTATAAACAGTGTCTTGACAATGACAGATGTGAAATATTGTTTAACGAAGATATTATTTCGAGAATAAGTTCTTTATTGGAAAATAATAGTTTAGATGAAGAGTCAAAACTACATTGTTGTATGACAATAAATAAAGATCTCGAACGTTCTTATACCCAAGGTTTTAATGTGAGTCAATTAAAAAACTGTATTTGGCGCTTCGACGAACAAAGAG